GAGGTTGACGCGGGGACAAACGGAGAGCTGGAAGAATACGGTGGAGCTTGTTTTGAGCTGTACATGTATATTTTTACCTGTAGAAATACAATGGCTAAAGATTTCAGATAACAGCTGTATCAAGAATGGGCCTGACTTGTAGGATTGTTTTGCCCAATTTCATTTCATTGCCAAAAATGTAATTGGTGAAAGTGGGGGGCTGTTGGTTGAGGGGTTGTCTAATCCCTGTCCCCATCTCGCCTTCCTCTTTCTTTGACTCCTGTTTTCTTGTCTCTGGATGGCAATCAATAGTTATTATCTGCCGAGTGTCGCGATAGACACGCAGGCCCCATTCTGACTTGATGGTGCTTTTTCATTATAGCTGACACTAGTCTAAACAAAGGAGGCCTATTTCCCTGCACCAGACAAACACAGTCCCCATAATGGCACCAGATAAAAGAGAAGCAGGAGGGAAAATTGAGTTTCACATAATGGGAAATCACTAACTCAGGATCGTGTCTTTTGCCACTCTATTTTTTCACCTTCTCTCTTTGTCATATTCACTGGATGGTAAATGAATTTCTTGCGTTTTAACCCTGATATGTCTAATCTATTACTTCATTCATGCTATTCACTGCCATAATGGGTCTCTGTCCATCCATCCATTTAAGCATCCAGCCACCCATGCATCCAACCATCCATCCATCAGTTTTTGCATTAGTCTATTCATCCATCCATTAAGACATTAATCCTTCCATCCATCCTTCCACTCATGCGTTCATCCGCAGATAGCTAGAGGTGGGCCTGTGTTGTTTTGACGGTGCTGTTGTTTCATAAAATAAATAAATGATATCTGTGCAGCGGAGTGGAAAGCATAACGAATGGCAGTTGGAGGAAAGGCAATTTAGGGAAAAGTGCAGCGGCTGGCGAAGGAGGAGAATAGGGTTTTTACTGTGAAGTATAACCAATGCATTACAAAACACATCACCAGAGGTTTATTGAAAAAGCCAAGTGCCCCCCTGCCCCGCTCCCTCCATTGAAAATGGCCAACATTATCATGGCCTACATGGTTAGGCACTGAAAGTCACTTTCAGAAATTCAGGAGAGACATTTTTATTGTAGTGGCACAAAGTAATACAGTGAGCCCCAGGTGAACAGCAGAGCAGGAGGTTGCTGTTTCCCAGTCCACTTACATACAGTACATTCCGTGGGTGTAAAAGTCTGTAAAGTTTTTGCCACACAAATAAGCTACAGTGTGGACAAAACAGACTTATTCACTGAATGGTCTCACAATACATGCAATTAAACCCAGAAAGACCCTGAATTGTTGAGGTTGTTTCTGATAAAAATGGACCAGTGTAATGTTAGCATCTTTGCTCAAAATGAATGAAGATGTTCGACCACACCCTACATCTTCATATGTAGCTTCATTGGCTTCTGTGTCTTTTGCAAATAACCAATAAATTTCCTTTTACTTTTGCGCCACAGGTGGTGATATTGCAGTACGGAGTCTGACAGCTACTGTTACAACTCAAAGAAAAGGACAGTTGAGCATGACTTTTTTAGCCAAGCTGTACGGAGGTCGCCATGATGTAAGTAATATAAAAACTTTTTGTGTAACGTGTTGCAAATTTAATGTGCCGTCCCACTCGTCTCACTGACCAGGGTAATAGCACCCTCTGCAGGGGAGGAAAACATAGCTATGCCAACAAACCCTTTCTGTAGATTTAACATTTTAAATATATGTTACACTTACAGTTCGGTTTATATCAGGGATCACCAACTATATTCATCACAGGGTCAGAATATTTCTGGACAGACACCCTGGGGATCTGGACACTTAAATAAAATAAAATAAAGAAAAACATTATTAGTTGATGTTTCTTTTGGAGAAAGACATTTTTGTCCAACATTATTAGTTGATGTTTCTTTTGGACTCCAGTCGTGGGCCCGATCGGACGCTTCGGTGGGTCGTATTTGGCCCTCAGGGCACCAGTTGGTGATCACTGCTTTATAGCTCCATATACAACACTACTGCAGTCTTTAAATAAGTTCTAATAAATGCAGAGAAATGTGAGCTGAGCAAACAGTTTGCACCAACTTGAACATATTAACACCCACAGCTAAAGCAGAAGCTCACAGCCCATTAGGACAAACATAAAGTGTTCCTCCACAGGCTTCTATCGACATATTGGCAATTTAAAAAGCCTAAAGTACAGAGTGGAC